TTACACACTATTACAATATTGCATGTATAGCTCCCTACGCTGTTTTACACTATTGTAATATTTATTACTTGGGTTCGTATTATTCTTATCGTGTACGCTGTTGTCTGATTGACGTTCCTACAGATTGTTAATAATTGTATTACATCAACCGTATACTCTTGTTTTCATTGTATAAATTGTTTTAAATTTATTGTAATACAGTATAAGTGATTGTGATTCTTCAACCGAAGTCGATCAGGTTGCAGATTTAGAAGAACCAATTTTACCCTGGCCAAATTATCAAAAATATTTTAAAGTATTAAGAGTCATTGAGGATAATTTTTTTACAAGAAGCTGAAAGTGAAGTGCTTAAGTTGTGTCGATACAAAGTGTTAAAAGGTGGATTCACGTTCAAACTCTAATATAAGAAAACATTTAAGCGTAAGTACAATGTTAATTTCATACCTGCCTATGACAGTTGACCCATCTAATATCTTGCGTGTTAAAATAATTTTAAATACCACACAAATACCTAATATATTACAAAAAATAAAAATATATCAAAAACAGTGGCGCAGCTTTTTAAAAGTCAAATTTCAAGTGCTTAAGATGTATCATAGATCTCATTATTCTATATTATATATTTTCCTGGGCCCCCACACGAGTCATCTCAGGGGGGCTCAGTATTCTTGTGTATATGAAATAAAATAAAATAAAATAAATAACCCCCTCCCCCCTCAAAAATAAATCCCAGTTTCGATAGAAATATGTAAATTATCTATCAAAACTTATAATGTTAAGTAAAAGGTTATATTTTTTCGTTTTATTCAGACACAACATTCAACTATATTAAAGAAAATTGATCACATTGGTAATGCAGCGAACAAAAACACTTTAAAGAGATGCAATGATGGATCATTGAAGCATAATGCATTAATGCTGGTAGTTCTTTAAAACAATCAGATAAAAACAACCAGTTTTAGAAGATTTTTTGAAAAACAAAAAAATTAACTAGTGAAAGTAAGAATGTGTATTATTTATTTTTATTTTTTGTTTTATTAAATAGTTTTTAGTTGCAGCATTAACAAAAGTAGTTGATATTTACATGACTACATGACTATATACTGATACATTGCTAGTGAACGATACGGTTGTTAATGATTTAAAGGAAATCGACGCATTCAACTTGAACATTCTCAATGATGAAGACCATGATTTACCATATGTATTACCAAAACACCATCAATGTTGTGCACACACAATAAATTTAATAGCAACAATGGTAATTAAACATTTATTTAAGAAGATAACCTAATATAGTTAAATTATGAAATACTAAAAATATTTTTATCGAAAAGAATATATTTTGAGTAAGTTTAGTGATCAGGACAAAACTATTAGGTAGTAGGTTTAACACTTAATAATCATAATCAAATTTGTATGAGTTGTAATACATTTAAAAATTAAATTTTTCCTTCAATTGAAATGATAAAAATATTCTAAGATATAAGTATATATTTCCCAGGCATTTGACAAAGTCTGGCACGAAGATATTCTGTTTAAACTTCGTACATTTCTTCCTCCTTCACTATTTCTACTAATGGAGTCATATCTTACAGACCAACATTTTCAAATACGTCAAGGTTCTGCTGCCTCAAATATAGCCACAAGGAGTACCCCAAGGAGGTGTACTTTCTCCTATCTTATTTAATATTTATGCTGCCGACCAACCTACTACACGAAATACTATTGTTGCTGATTATGCTGACGACAAAGTCATATTGTCAGTACATAATAATAATTGAATAATGAATGTTCCATGATTGCAGCAGAAACAGTGCAACACTGCAGTCTAAACATTAAACATGATACCAACGAAGAACCCCCCTCGACGGCAGCTCATTTTCATCCAGCTAGATGGCGCCGACGTATACAGTTTTTTGTCTTATTTTAAATTTTACGAATACTCTGCTCTACTTCTGGTCTATAATTAATACCATTACCATGCGTCTATGCCCTACACCAGTGGTGCGCAACCTGGGGGTCGCGACCCCTAAGGGAGTCGTGAAATTTTATGAGAGTGTCGCCAATAATTTTACACCAAATGAAAAAGTTATATACTACTATTCTCTGGTCAATGTGTGTGTCAATTGCGATAATTAAATCAAATATCGCTTCACATTATATTTTGAAGCTGATTTAAGAGTAGTAGTGTCAAATATCAAACCAAACATAGAATCAATCAAGTCTACAATGTAAACTCATGTTTCTCATTAAAATAATTTATTACCTAGTAATTTGATGATTTAAACAATATTGCTTCAAGAAATTTACAATCTCACCTAAATCTACTCTCAGAATGGTATGCCAAATGGAAAATTAAATTAAATAACAACAAATCCATTCACACGACTTTCACACTAAGACACAGACTTTGCCCTAACGTAACTGTAGATAATTTACCCATCCCTGCTCTTGACACTGTTAAATACTTAGGACTAAACCTCGATAAAAGATTAACATGGTAAAATCATATAAGGAAAAAAAGATTAATACTTAATGTCCGCTCACGTTCTCTAAAAGTATTACTTTCAAAAAATAAATTCACATCTTTAAAAACAAAACTTCAAATATACAAATCTCTTCTGAAACCCATATGGACGTATGGAATCCAACTATGGGGATCGGCAAAAAAAACAAATTTAAACAAAATTCAGGCCTTCCAAAATATTACCCTTCGTAAAATCACAAATGCCCCACCCTTNATTTAAAAATTAAATTTTTCCTTCAATTGAAATGATAAAAATATTCTAAGATATAAGTATATATTTCCCAGGCATTTGACAAAGTCTGGCACGAAGATATTCTGTTTAAACTTCGTACATTTCTTCCTCCTTCACTATTTCTACTAATGGAGTCATATCTTACAGACCAACATTTTCAAATACGTCAAGGTTCTGCTGCCTCAAATATAGCCACAAGGAGTACCCCAAGGAGGTGTACTTTCTCCTATCTTATTTAATATTTATGCTGCCGACCAACCTACTACACGAAATACTATTGTTGCTGATTATGCTGACGACAAAGTCATATTGTCAGTACATAATAATAATTGAATAATGAATGTTCCATGATTGCAGCAGAAACAGTGCAACACTGCAGTCTAAACATTAAACATGATACCAACGAAGAACCCCCCTCGACGGCAGCTCATTTTCATCCAGCTAGATGGCGCCGACGTATACAGTTTTTTGTCTTATTTTAAATTTTACGAATACTCTGCTCTACTTCTGGTCTATAATTAATACCATTACCATGCGTCTATGCCCTACACCAGTGGTGCGCAACCTGGGGGTCGCGACCCCTAAGGGAGTCGTGAAATTTTATGAGAGTGTCGCCAATAATTTTACACCAAATGAAAAAGTTATATACTACTATTCTCTGGTCAATGTGTGTGTCAATTGCGATAATTAAATCAAATATCGCTTCACATTATATTTTGAAGCTGATTTAAGAGTAGTAGTGTCAAATATCAAACCAAACATAGAATCAATCAAGTCTACAATGTAAACTCATGTTTCTCATTAAAATAATTTATTACCTAGTAATTTGATGATTTAAACAATATTGCTTCAAGAAATTTACAATCTCACCTAAATCTACTCTCAGAATGGTATGCCAAATGGAAAATTAAATTAAATAACAACAAATCCATTCACACGACTTTCACACTAAGACACAGACTTTGCCCTAACGTAACTGTAGATAATTTACCCATCCCTGCTCTTGACACTGTTAAATACTTAGGACTAAACCTCGATAAAAGATTAACATGGTAAAATCATATAAGGAAAAAAAGATTAATACTTAATGTCCGCTCACGTTCTCTAAAAGTATTACTTTCAAAAAATAAATTCACATCTTTAAAAACAAAACTTCAAATATACAAATCTCTTCTGAAACCCATATGGACGTATGGAATCCAACTATGGGGATCGGCAAAAAAAACAAATTTAAACAAAATTCAGGCCTTCCAAAATATTACCCTTCGTAAAATCACAAATGCCCCACCCTTTGTCTCTAACATGACCCTCCACAAAGACCTAGGTATAAAAACAGTAGAAGAAGAAGCTGCTATTTTCTATAAACATTTTTACAATAAATTAGAAAACCATGAAAATCCTCTAATAAAAGGCTCACATATCCCGTCACTTCCTGGAAATCCCCGTCGCAGGCTGAAAAGGAAATGGTGTAGGGATCATCTAATTTAATCCTAACAAGTTATGTAATCACATAATAAACATGCTAAGTGCTACTGATGGGTGGCTTCTTATTCACGTAACTCCATAATGTTTTGTTACCCTTATCTCATATATACTTATTGTGCTTAATTGTATAGATTGTGTATTTCTTGTAAAAATAAAAAAATAAAAAGATATAAGTATGAATATGATTGGCATTAACTATTTTCTATTATCTATACCCAAATTTAAATTTTAAATATCAATAAACCCCTCATCGCCAATCTATCCATTACCGAGCTACCCTATACAACTCGTAGATTAAAAAGAAAATGGTCCAGAGACCTCTTATCCTAAGGTCTAACATCGGTCTATAAACTGGAACTCTGATTATTACTCGGATTATTACCTAGTTTTATTATTTTTTTCTCTTAATGTATTATGTTTTCTGTTCTACCTAGTCTTAACTGAAGAGTAATATCAATGGATATTTTCTCTTATCATGTGAACTCATGTCAAAAATTCTATTACTCAAATTTATTTATTGTATTATATTAAATATAGATTGTAAATAAACATTTTTAATAAAAAAAAAAAAAATATATCAATAAATTATATTAATTTTTTATTATTAATTAAATATTTTCAAAATCTTTTAAAGCGTTTGATAAAATATGCTTATCAGCTTCACATTGTGTTTGTAAGAATACTTCGATTAAGTCAGATTCAGTATGTCCAAATAATAGTTGTTCAAAGAGATGAGTAGATTTTGAAAATATTGATACAGATGAAGTAATAGATATTTTAAGTGATTTAGGGTGTAGAAATATTGCAAATAAAAATAACTTTAGAAAGATATTGGAAGAAATTGCACACAAAGAACTTATTCAAAAGCCAATGTTCATAATTGATTGTTTTGTAGNAGGTAAATTGTAAATCTTAAAAAATTATTAATTATTTTATCTATATTTTTTATGAACAATATTTTCAGATTTAATAGAAGTGATATTTATTTCATGTGTCAATATCAAACAATTATGGGGCAAATATCAATAAGCTTGGATTTACTCCAGGGTGATACTAACATGTACTTTGGTCATCTCCTACCTACAATTGAAGAATTAATTTATAAATACGAATTAATGACAAGTGATTAAACAGTTTCTAATTATTTGAAACCTCTGGTGACTGCTATACTTAATGGTATGTAATAATATTTTTTAAATTTATTAATCTTATTTAGCCAAGTACTTAAATTGTACACATTTAATCCAAGTACTTAAATTGTACACATTTTATTTCTTTTCATTTTAGCTGGTTTTGGTTTACTTTATCTCTTAGCTCTTACAGTCTTACTGATGTATAATGTAAAATTGTAATCAGCTGATCTATTATTTATATTTATATTTCTGTGTAGTACCTACATTTATATATTCATGAGCTAAAATAAACAAACTTTATTGATAATAATTTTTGTTTTTTAGGTATGAAAACAAGGTTTGCCGATTATTTGATACCAAATTTTTAATTACTGCTGCAGTCTGCCACCCACCATTTAAAAAATTAGGGATTAAAAATGATGTAAAAATATAATTGGCTCCAGAATATTTAAAAAGTGTCTGTTATGACTTACATACTAGTGATAATGACAATAATGATGTAGAAAATAACCAAATGAAAGATAATTTATCTACCTTTTTTACCTGGTCACAAAATTCTCGAGAGGAAAAATCAACAGTTGGTGATGAAATAGATAGATATTTGGGCACATCTCCAACAAAGACTTTAGAATGTTTTCATAATTTACCCACTATCAAAAAAGTTAGATTAGTTGAAAACTTCTTATACTATTAGTAGACAGTAGTTATATTACAAAAACATTTGTACTTATTTTTCAGGTGTTGGTGAAGTACAACACTACCTATCAGTGCATCAGTAGAGAGAGTGTTTAGTGTTGTTGATGCAACAATACAAAAAAAGAACAAATATGACGGATCAACATTTTGAACAAATATTGTTCTTAAAATGCAACATTCAAATGTTCGATTAATATAATATATTATGAATGATTCAGAATTAAATTAATTTGTTTGTTTTCTATTTGAAAATTATTTCCAATACTTTACTATAGATAGTATTTCTGTGGTATTTTAAATACTTTATTTTATAAGTATTTGAATGATTACTCAAATACTTTTTAAAATTATTTTTTACAACACTGATCAGTATACATAAACCTAATCTTGTCCCTATATAATGTCTCTGTGTCACGTTATAGTGATAGTCTTACATTTTTGTCTTGGAAACATCGAGCACACAAAATCCTTAACAAAATATTGTAAATAAGTTAGTAAATGTTGAACATAAAAATGTTAAGTATATTTACCATTATAGATAGGTTTATCAAATTTAATAATCTTGTTCTCTTGATTGACTGCGTTAGGTTATCAGTTATCACTGTAATTGGTACAGCATTTAAAAGTGGACTTATAAATTAACTTCTTGTATAGCCCTTGGTATAGTCCATTGTAGGTAAACAAGGGAGAAAATAATGATAAAAAAAGAAATCACAATATACTATGTAATATTATGTAAGTTTTTTTATTTGTTAAAAATCTATGAATTTTTTTTTTAAGTCATAAAATTAATATAGTTTTTTGTGGTTTTCAGTTCAAATGGGTCTTCTGTTCATTTTTATACCAATTTTTTAGAGCCATGTCAGTACACAAACAATATCCTTGCGGATTTAGTTTTGGGAGACAAATTCCAGATAATATGTGATAAATGTTATTATTTGTACGAAGAAAAGTGTTAAGCTGAAGATTTTGCTTAAATATCATTAAAATATAATGTAGGTAGGTATCTGCTGTATAAAAATTAATTTTATTTTGTAAAGGTGTTAGTTAATGTATTAGATGGTGCTGATCCAATACAGCTAAATAAAAAAATCCACGCACTGCAAGTACTTTTAAATTTACCAATAGCTAAAATGTAGAAATATTTTATTTATTGTTTATTTACATGTTTAGCTAAATAAAGGTGACAAAACAGATCAAACGGTATGGGACAGGTATTAAACTTCTAATGAAAAAAAGAATTTTAAAAAAAACATTAATAATTTCTACTTATTATCATACATTTACATTAGTCAATTACTATTTTTGATAAAATATACCAACAAAGTTTTGGTTTTATTTTCTCTAAGCCAAGTATTCAAACGTCATTTGTTTATTTTTTGGAAATATTTGTCTTCGGGTTAGATAAAGGTATTCATCTCGTTAATAACATTTAACATCAGCTACTTTTGACAGTTGATGTACAAAAACTTAATATTTTATTAAACTAAATTATATAATAATCCCACAAATAAATAAATAAATAGGTATTACAAATAAAACATTTTTAAAAAACAAACAAACAAATTTTGTATTTTTTGAACTTAATATTTTTATATTATAATTAAGTTAATTGCAATTTTTCTTATTCGTAAATATAAAATTATGAACAATAAAATAAAATATGAAATTCTTAAAATATTATTTAGGAAATCAATTTCCTAAAATATTTATAAATAAATAAAATTTCCTTGGAGGATTGATTTACCCGACTTAAAGATTAAATTATACCATTTAACTGTCCAGCAAGTTGTCCATATTATTCTATTGATAAATATTTGATCTTTAATTACTGTACATAGTTTGTTGGCTAATATTATTACTTTTTACTCAACTCTATATAGGATGTAGATTGTAGATGATTTTTGTTTATTATCTTTTTGATATGCCAACAAAATAATTTTTTTTACATTATTAAAATTGGAATTTCATCTATTAAAACGAAAAAATATAAATAGACAATAGTGACTACTTGGATAATGAATATTTCCATTCTTACAAATAATTATTTTGTATTCAAACCTAGTTTACTAACTAAAGACTTATATTTATGTTTGAACTAGAATTACCTAAGTGATTTGATTTAATTTTGTATAGTTATGATAAGAAACAACTCATCGAAGATTTGATTAATGATTCCACAAATTTAACTTTTGGGGGGTCACAAAGTAAACATGTCCTATCTTGACTACTTAACATTGTATTCTTCAGTTCATAAGCAACTAAAAAATATATATAGTTATATTTTCAATTTCAGCTACCTATATAATTTTTTTTTTAATACAGATAGGTATAAAATGTTAAATAATTTTTTAACATTTTTTAATAATTTATTCATTATTTATGTGTCTATATCGTATTACTAATGTACCTACTACCTTAAACATAAAATACATACAGATTTTAATAAGTAAATGCAATTTTTAACTGTTATAATATGGCTTAAAGTTTGAAAAAAATTACAACTGATATTAATTTATATACGTTTTGAAAACTGCCTTTAAAACAAAGAATATTACGAATAATTGTTGTTGAACATATAATGAAAAGAATTAAACCGTATTTAGCATTAATTGTTACATTTTAATGTTATTGGAAATGCATATCACTTGGATCATGTGTTACTATATCAGCATTGTACGATGTGGTATGTCACACGTGACTTACTATCTAGGTACTTAATTTAACAACTTTTTTGGCATTAACTAATTCAAATTGGTCTAGTAAATTCATGTGTACCTAACTAACAAACCTAAAAT